TATTAGAGTTTTACTGTCACCTATACAGAAATTGGGAATATTAGAGTTTTACTGTCACCTATACAGAAATTGGGAATATTAGAGTTTTACTGTCACCATTACAAAAATTGAGAGTATTAGAGTTTTCCTGTCACCTTTACAGAAATTGGTAATATTAGAGTTTTACTGTCACCTTTACAGAAATTGGGAGTATTAGAGTTTTACCGTCACCTTTACAGAAATTGAGAGTATTAGAGTTTTCCTGTCACCTATACAGAAATTGCGAATATTAGAGTTTTCTACGTCAAAGTTTTACTGTCGACTATACAGAAAATGAGGAATAACAGAATCATCTTTAGTACCTTTCCCTGTCTCCTATATAGAAAATTGGAGATAATTGAATCTTCTTTATTAGCTTTTCCTGCCATCTATACAGAGAACTTGGAACACTTGCACCTTCTTTAGTCGGCTTTCCAAACTCTTTTACAGAAAAGGGGGGAAAATTCAATATGCTTCATTACATTGTTCTGCCTAATATGCAGAAAGTGGAAGATAATAAAATATTCTTCGGTATCTTTTCCAACCTATCTATTCAACAGATGAGGATTCATTCATTCGTCTATAGTAGCATTTTCAGCCACCTATACAGAGAACCGCCACCTAAACAGAGAACCGCCACCTATACAAAGAACAGCCAAATATACAGAGAACAGAGAACCGCCACCTATACAGAGAACCGCCACCTATACAGAGAACAGAGAACCGCCACCTATACAGAGAACCGCCACCTATACAGAGAACAGAGAACCGCCACCTATACAGAGAACCGCCACCTATACAGAGAACAGAGAACCGCCACCTATACAGAGAACCGCCACCTATACAGAGAACAGAGAACCGCCACCTATACAGAGAACCGCCACCTATACAGAGAACAGAGAACCGCCACCTATACAGAGAACCGCCACCTATACAGAGAACAGAGAACCGCCACCTATACAGAGAACCGCCACCTATACAGAGAACAGAGAACCGCCACCTATACAGAGAACCGCCACCTATACAGAGAACAGAGAACCGCCACCTATACAGAGAACCGCCACTTATACAGAGAACAAAGAACCGCCACCTATACAGAGACCAGGGAACCGCCACCTATACAGAGAACAGAGAACCGCCACCTATACAGAGAACCGTCACTTATACAGAGAACAAAGAACCGCCACCTATACAGAGAACAGGGAACCGCCACCTATACAGAGAACAGAGGACTGCCATCTATACAGAGAACTGCCACTTATACAGAGAACAGAGAACCGCCACCTATACAGAGAACCGCCACTTATACATAGAACAGAGAACCGCCACCTATACAGAGAACAGAGAACCGCCCCCTATACAGAGAACCGCCACTTATACAGAGAACAGAGAACCGCCATCAATACAGAGAACCACCACATATTCAGAGAATCGCCACCTATACAGAAAACAGAGGACCGCCACCTATACAGAGAACAGAGGACCGCAACCTAAACAGAGAACCGCCGCCTATACAGAAAACCGCCACCTATACAGAGAACCGCCAAATATACAGAAAACAGAGAACCGCCACCTATAGAGAGAACCGCCACCTATACAGAGAACAGAGAACCGCCACCTATACAGAGAACAGAGAACCGCCACCTATACAGAGAACCGCCACCTATACAGAGAACAGAGAACCGCCACCTATACAGAGAACCGCCACCTATACAGAGAACAGAGAACCGCCACCTATACAGAGAACCGCCACCTATACAGAGAACAGAGAACCGCCACCTATACAGAGAACCGCCACTTATACAGAGAACAGAGAACCGCCACCTATACAGAGAACAGAGAACCGCTACATATACAGAGAACAGAGAACCGCCACCAATACAGAGAAACACCACATATTCAGAGAATCGCCACCTATACAGAGAACAGAGGACCGCAACCAATACAGAGAACCGCCACCTATACAGAGAACCGCAAAATATACAGAAAACCGCCACCTATACAACGAACCGCCACATATACAGAGAACAGAGAACCGCCACCTATACAGAGAACCGCCACTTAAACAGAGAACAGAGAACCGCCACCTATACAGAAAACAGAGAACGCCACCTATACAGAGAACAGAGAACCGCCACCTATACAGAGAACCGCCACTTATACAGAGAACAGAGAACCGCCACCAATACAGAGAAC